TTTTCCAAAATCCCTTCTTAGTGCTCATCTACACCATTATAGGATACTTGAGTCAAAATTTCAGCATCCTAGCTTCTACCGTGTGGGCTATGAGCTGTTGACGCGGTTTTCTTGTGTGCCCCAACATTTTTTTACTGGAAAACTCCCATATTTTAGGCTCCAAAAAAATATCAAAAAACCAAGTATACAGTTTTTCTGGGAGTTGTTCTGAGAGTATACAAACTAAGTTTGAAGTTAATCAGATGAAAATTGTAGAAATTTGTCATACAAACGTTGGAGCCTGTTTTTCCCCTTTGGAGCTCGAGTTTTCCAAAATCCCTTCTTAGTGGGCACCTAGACTATGAAAAGATACTTAAGTCGAAATTTCAGCCTAGCCTAGCCTTTACCGTTTGGGCTGTGCGTTGATCACCAATCAGTCAGTCAGTCAGGACAAACTGTTTTATATATATAGATATATAACCAAGCGGTGACAGCAGCTGTTGTTGTATATATATATGGTTATAACTTCCTGTTAAATCGGCCTATCGTTATGACACACGGACTCATAATCACTAACGGGAGGTAATTTCCGAATTTCAATGAGAAATTCTAAGAAATACGGGAATTTTGGAAAATAACTAATGGGGGGGGGGGAGGGGAACTCCAAAGTACACATTTTCTGCGTATTCACATAAGGCATCTGGGACTAAAATTTGGTGTCTCCCTAGGTCTTATAGTCTCCGAGATATAGGCGATTATATGAATAGAAAATCAGGAAGCCCCCATAGGGGGAAGTGGGGAAAAATCATAAAAATAAAACAAACTCGTATAGCGTACACACATAAGGCATCTTTGTGCAAAATTTGGTGTCTCTAGCTCTTATAGTCTCTGAGATCCAGCTGTTCATACGGACGGACAGACGGACAGACAGGGCTACATCGACTCGTCTTGTCACGCTGATCAAGAATATATATACTTTGTGGGGTCTGCCACGCCTCCTTATGCCTGTTACATTTTTAGCTCCCGCAAACCTAATATACTCTTGTACATTTCATGTACAGAGTATAAAAACTGCATACCAAAAAGGAAAGTACCGGTATTTTCCAATGAGGAACACAGAAAACAGTATTTGCACATATAATTTTTTTACAGGGGTACTTCGTGGGGTCTGCCACGCCTTCTTCTGCCTGTTACATTTTTCAGCTCCAGCAAACCTAGTATACTCTTGTACATTTCATGTACAGAGTAAAAAAACTTGTCATTCTTGGGCTTAGGAGAATCTGTATATCAACTTTGGTAATTCAAGCTCCTATACTTTCTGAGATCCTTGCGTTCATACGGGCGGACGGACAGTTCCATATGGACTCGTTTTATTACACTGATTAAGAATATATATAATTTGCGAGATCTGCCACGCCTTCTTATGTGTTGTAGCAAATCTTAACGATTAGATTATATAGTACCCTTTAACGCTTGGGGTAAACCTACTATATAGTATATGTATTGGTATGTTCGTACGTTGATGTGAGAAGGGTGCCGCTAAATGTATTTATGTCTGTGTTGCCATGTGTGCTGCTGCTCCACATTTTAGGTGAGACTAAAAATACAGTGTAGGCGGATTTGGTCTCTTGCTGATTAGACACAAAATAAGCGAAAGCAACAACCGCAAAAGTAAAAGCAGAGCAGTCTTGTACGTTAAAAAACACTTAAAATGAAGATTGCGCAAGAGCCAAATTAATTAAAAAAATGTAGATATAGAAAGAATGCTTTCATCTTGGCGTTTTGGTCCATAGTAAAATCGACGCTCATAATATAATATATGAACGATTTCATCGTATATACATAAATAAATACATATGTATATTTATATTCAAATATATCGAAGTGGGTAGAGATGGCGCAACAAAGCGCGGCAGACGGCTGTGGTGCTTGCTGCTTTTCTCGTAGTTTGGCTCAAAGTTCATTGATCTATTTTGCCGAAACACTCGCAGTCGTGCCGCCTCGGCGCACACAGTTTCAGCTTTTAGGACTGTACACCCTCTTATCAACCTGTGATTGCTTCAACCAAACACACTAGTTAAATGCTTAATAAGCCTTTACGATATTTACAATAATATTGATTAATTTAATGACATAGAGACGTAACAAGGTGATTTCCAAAGTGAACAGGACCTTTGGAATAAAGCATTTTTTGATGGAGCCATTTACAAATGACTGGTATCTGGTTGAAAAGGTACCGACTTCCGCTAAAAATGTAATGATAAGAAGCGTCAATCAAAGAACCAATATTAGATTGTGTTTGAAACTTAGTAAATATTTTACCGAAACATTTCAATTAATGAACCAAGTTTATGCGATCAAAAAAACCTGAAAAGTTTGTAAACAGATGCCATACACAGATATATGTATTATTTATGTATGCATCCCCAATATTGTGACGCGGAAATTTAATTTTACATATCTTTATAGCATTAGGAATTGCTTTCTCTACTTTAAATTTTACCTGACAATTACTTGTAGGTATATTTTTTAAGAGTCGGACGCACATGACTCGAATTTAATTGTGTAGAATAAAGCATCTTTTTAAGCATTACGAGACAAATCGGTCTAGACATGTCCGTCCGCCTGTGTGTATGAATACCTTTATTTCGGAATCGGCTGATCCCGTATTGGTATGTAAACGTTTTTTATTTTATTTTTTGGATTTTTCACCTCCATCCCCCGCTACAGTTACAACAATACGGTCCTAAATCCCAACGCTTTATAAACAAACCTTTGCATACATGGTATAGACGCCAATGTCGGTATACAACAGGTCGAAGCAGCAGTAATAGATTAAGCAACATCCATAGAAATAATAACATGGGAAGCAATACGAAATTCTAATTAGATTACCTGACTCTTTACTCACAATCAGAAATTACCCCGGTTTTATGTGTGTACGTACAACATTTTGTACGAGTGCGTGTAAATGTACGATATACACATATCCTCACAAGAGAAATTCGAATGTGGTTTACTGCAATGTTTGTTGTAGATATTGTTACAAGGTGCAATTCAAAAGTTCCAGGACTTTTATTAAAAAACGAAAACTATTTATTTTTTTTGAAAAATTTATTGGTCGCCTTCAAAACAGTCTCCTTCCGCCTGAATACAACGTTTTGCACGTTCAAGAAGGTGATCGAACGACTTTTTTAGGTAATTTGTCGGTATAGCGTTGAGGATGGCGGTCGCCGCCTGTTGGATGGCATCAACGTCAGCATAGCGGTTTCCTTTCATGGCCAAATGTAGTTTTCCGAACAAATAAAAATCACACGGTGCCATATCAGGTGAATACGGCGAGTGGTTAATGGTTAAAATGTGATTTTTGGTCAAATAATCGGTCACAATCGGTTGATTTTTGAGCAATTTTTGGTCGTCAGTCAATTTGTGCGGAACAAACCGTGCACACACCTTTCGTAAGCCCAAATATTCGGTCAAAATGCGATAAATCGATGTTTTGGAGATGTTCAATTCCATTTCCATCAATTTCAATGATGATTTCGGCTGAATTTTGATGAATTCACGCACTGTTTTGATGGCATTTTTGGTGATCACGAATTTTGATTGGCCCACATGTTGATCGTCATTTATGTCCTCACGACCACTTTGAAAACGTTGAAACCACTCGTGCACTCTGCTACGGGATAGGCAATCATCGCCATAAACTTGTTTCATCAATTTCGGTAAAAGTTTTACCAATTTTAAAACAAAATTTAATGTTGGCTCTTTTTTCGAAGCTCATTTTCGCACCGATAACACAAACATACTGACACTTAAAACGCAATAACTACACTTCCAATCGATGAGATGTCATAAAATTCTCACTGGACAATCGATAAAGATAGCAGATTCTAACGCACCAGTCGACATATAGATAGCGCCACCATGGGGCGCTAGCTTCAAAAAGTCCTGTTTACTTTGAATTGCACCTTGTATTAATATTCGCAACACAAACCAGCCAAGGTGTGCTCCCCCTAGTTTGCTTTCTGAAAAAGTAAATTAAATGAAAAAATGAAAAAGTAAATCTCGTAAATTAACCGCCTATCATTAGCTCGGACTAGAACAATAAAATGACGTTTTGGAAAAAATAAAAATTTAATTGCAACAGATAACACAATGACGCAACTACAAGTATGTACTTGTATGTACTTTGTGCAGAAAAGCTGCAGTAGCATTGACCGCAGCATTGGCAGCACGTATAATGCGCCTTTCTGACATTGAATTGTTGTGGTTTGCCGCCCAAGTGTTTGCTTTATTCGTCCTATTATTTGTGTCGAAATTGCGTTGCAATGAAGGTTGATGAAATTATTTTTATACCGTGCACCAAAACAAATCTACAAGTTTAGTGCGAGTGTCACACACAGAAAGTGGCGGGACAGACCCCACAAAGTATATATATTCTTGATCAGGATGACAATACGAGTCGATATAGCCATGCCGGTGTGTCTGTCTGTATGAACGCAAGTATCTCAGAAAGTATAAGAGCTAGAATAATCAAACTTGGTATACAGATTCTCCTGAGCCCGAGAAAGTACGAGTTTGAACATTTTTTCCCGATGCGCCACCCCCAGGGTATAAAAAATGTATGTTAAAAACAACCTATGCGATAAAAGTCGAAATCACAGCACAGTTTTCAAGTAGGCTGAACTCTAATAATTAATCTTCGGGCCGTAACTTGTAACTGCATAAAAATGTCTGCCAGATATTGGTGGTTAATCCACTTGCTGTTTCTATGGTCGCCTACTCGCAGCTACAATACTGGTCGGATGGTAAATATCACTGGTTGTAACAAAGCCGACAACAATAATAGTATGGATTAAAAACAGATGCAACATTGGGAACTACTTAGCAGTCTCTACGGCGATCTACTACGCTGCGGCGATGCTGCACCCACTCCCGCTCCGGCTTCCGAAGATGCAGATGCTGACTGCAACTCTCCACAATCAACCGGCGATGACGAAATGTCCTGCAGGGGAGAAGGGGGCGTTGATGGCAGCCAGTATTCCGAAGGAAATATCAACCCACGCCTTAAAGCCTCCGCCATAGCACAGAATGCCGCGCAGGTAGCCAAGGCCGCCAACGAAGCCCAAGCGGACGCTGCCCACGATGCCGCCCAGAAGGTAAAGATTCAGTTGGCGGAGAAAGCTTATCAGGCAGCGAATGCTGCCGAGGCCGTGCTCGAAGGCAAGGAGGCAATTGTGGCGAACTTTGAGCGCGAGATACGAGAGGCTAACGCAGTAGTCAACCAGGTGACTAACTCACTAGACGGCACTGAAAGCAATGCGGATACTGCGGTAATAGCTGCTAAAGCCGCAGAGGCCCAGTTGTCTGATCTGAAATGCCTTGTGCAGGATGCAGGGTTGAGCCTCAACGACGTTGAGTCGCTGGTCGAACAAGCGCAATCCGAAATGGAAGAGAAGGCACAAATGCTTGCAGCGGCAAAGACACGAGCTCATCGTCTCACTCGACAACTGGCCCAGGCCAAAGAAGAGTATGTTCAGGTCAAGGAAGCGGCGTATAAAGCCGCCTGTGCGGCCGTTGAGGCTAAGCAAAAGGCAGCCGCGAGCCGCGGCTGTCGCATGCTAGCCATGGTTCGACAACGACGGCAACAACAGGACCTTTTAAGCGACGAACCGAGATGGTCTTTTTTACATGGGCGTCATTTCTACAGAAAATGCTTGGATAACAATTAACTATATTCGGTTTGATGTTTTGATTGGTTTTAATTCAAAGTTTATATTTCGTGAATACTTTCTTCAAATTGCTCGAATTCAGATACATATAAGAGAGAACGCTACAGTCGAGCAAACTAATACCGTGTACTCTCCACAAAAAAGGAAATTAAGAAAAAAAAAGTAAAAAGGTAAAGTCGAATGTCCCGACTTTGTACATTATGCGTGTTTGTGTGTGTATGTCTCGAGTGCCTGTGCAAAGCAGCAACAACAATATCAATTACATCCCGTTAGTGGTTATGTGTATGCTAAGTTTCATCATGATAGGTCAATTCGGAAGGAAACTATAACCCTAAATATAATGTCTGAACCATAACCATTAATATATGTCTGCATACATACACACACGCATGGACACGCTTCTGATGTACACACATGTGTGATGTTGAAACTGTACATAAACATAAGTCTCCATTTATGTATGTATGTATTAAATATTTTGAATTTAATTTTTTTTTAAAATTAATTTGTACATTTTTTTTTCTGTTTTGTGGGAGTGAGTTCATGGTATTTAAGAGTTGAGCTGGTTCGACTCTAGCATTCCTTTCTTGTTTATGTATGTATTGAATGGTTTATATTTAATTTAAAAAATGAAATTTTTTTTAATTAAATTTTTTTTCATTTATCCTTTTTTATGGGAATGCGTACAGGCTATTTTACTGTCGGCAGTGTGACAACTTTTTAGAAGGAAAACAAGTAAAAAAGCTAAAGTCGGGTGTCCCGACTTTGAAATACTCTGTACATATGTTTACTAATTAAAAAAATTTGCTAGAAAAAAAAAAGAAAATTTTAAAAAATTTGATCGATTTTACCTTTCTCGGTATTCGAACTCACGTAAAGGGTGTATAATTGCACATTTACATAGCAATTGCGTCTGTGTGAGTGTATGTATGCCTATGCGCATCTATTCGTGTTTGTGTAAGCATTTTCGCAGTCAACCAAACAGCAACATCAACAACAGCCGCGGGCAGCGCTTGAGCAGCGCTGCAGCAGCAAATATACTTATGGCTATAACTTCTTGGTAAATCGGTCTATCATAGTGAAACTTGGCATACGGACACATAATTACTAACTGTGGGTATTTGCAAAATTTTAGTTCGAAATTCCAAGAATTACGGGAGTTAGAGAAAATCGCATTTGCGGGGGAGAGGGGGGAGGGAGGGAAATTCCAAAATATACATTTTCTGCGTATTCACACAAGGCACCTTGGACTAAAATTTGGTGTTCCTAGGTCTTATGGTCTCCGAGATATAGGCGATTATACGAATGGAAAATCGGGAAAACCCCCATAGGGGGGAAGTGGGGGGGAAAATCAAAAAAAATAAAACAAACTCGTATAGAATACACACATAACGCATCTTTGTGCAAAAAATTGTGCCTCTATCTCTTATAGTCTCTGAGATCCAGGTGTTCATACGGACGGTTGTTTTGCTCGAATTTCTACTAATGGCGATTTTAAAAAAGTCTATATTAATGCTTATACATAGTGTATTTCATGTTGATTTATCAACTTATTAATAAGCTTAGTTATTCTTATTATCCTTACTTTATTCTTATCCTTCTTCAAGTTTCTTCTACTATATACGATAATTGGTTAAAGGTACTTCATTGTGATTTCGTTTTAATGCGTATTCTGGCAGAAATATTTGCTGTGTTCTCTGATTTGTTAGGTGACAATGGGTTGGAAAAAAAAATAGAAACGCATATACTTTTTGAGATAATATTGCATTGTAAAGCGCTCATTAAACGTATTAAGGTAATATTTTAACATTATAAGTAAGAGGTAAGCTCAAAATAACAATTCTTGTACAATTTTCCTCTTACGGTTAAGAATGGGTCGGGGATATCATTTCACAGCTACGAAAAGAGAAAACATAATTAAGCTCAAAATAAAAGCAAATCAATGGCTGTAATTGCATTATTATTGCACTGATCAAAAATGAGTGTTTTTTTTGCGGTCCTTTTTGAATTCAAACGGAAGAAACAAGGTAGAACGTTAATAAAATGTTAGAAACTTCTTTTACGACAATAATTAATTGGCTAATAGCTGCTGATTTGAAAGCACATTCTGGAAGAAAAGGACGTAGTAGTAAAGAAAAAAATTCCGAGATCGCATTACTTTTCCAAAAGGCATGTACTGCGAGCAAATTGCAAAACCGTGCTTTGATCAGACGTGACAAAGCTAAGTTTGTTGGGATCTGATGGGAAGACGCCCCAAAAATCAAGTTCATGATCCGGAATACACTATAAAAACTATTAAGGATGGTGGTGTCAACATAATGCTATGGGGATGTTTTTCATCATTTAGGTGTTGGTCCAATATTTTGGTTCAAGGATGAAATCTGCGCTATGGATTACGTTAATATAGTTAACAGCATAATGCTTCCATATTCTGAGGAAGAAATGCCGGTAATGTGGGAGTTTTTTCAAGATACTAACCCAAAACACACTTCGTAGCTTGCAATACAAGGTTCCATTAAATCAAAGGTTCTTTGATGGAACGGATTTCACAATGATCTAACCTAAATCCCATAAAAGCACCTAGGGGGGAAGAATATTTTTGGGCTTAAGTCCAAAAACAGAGACGATTTATGGCAAAAAGTGCAGACCGTATGGTATGCCATTGATCCCCCAACCTTTGGTCTAAGCTGGCGGAATCTATTGGTCGTCCAGGCGCAGATGCTTTCAAAAATAATGTTGGCACTACCAAATATTAGTAATAACCCCAAATTTTATACATGGTTTATGTCTTGGAATTAGAAAATTTAATTTTTAAAAATATTAAAAAAAAAAAAAAACTCGTATAGCGTACACACATAAGGCATCTTTTTGCAAAATGTAGTGTCTTTATCTCTTATAGTCTCTGAGATCCAAGTGTTCATACGGACGGACAGACAAGGCCAGATCGACTCGTCTTGTCACGATGATCAAAAATATATATGTATACTTTGTGGGGTCTGCCACGCCTCCTTCTGCCTGTTACATTTTTCAGCTCCCGCAAACCTAGTATACTCTTGTACATTTCATGTACATGTGTGTTACACACATTCGCACAAAAATAGTGTAGCCTTTTACCCTTTTGGGTACAGGCGATCTAAATTTTCAAAAAGCTTTTCTTTTTTAATGTAATCTGATAAATATTTAGTACAAATAATTAAATTTTGAAAGAAAACATTTTTATACTCTGTACATGAAATGTACAAGAGTATATTAGGTTTGCGGGAGGGGAAAAATGTAACAGGCAGAAGGAGGCGTGGCAGACCCCACAAAGTATATATATTCTTGATCAGCGTGACAAGACGAGTCGATCTAGCCCTGTCTGTCTGTCCGTCTTTCCGACTGGCCGTCCGTATGAACACCTGGATCTCAGAGACTATAAGAGATAGAGACACCAAATTTTGCACAAAGATGCGTTATGTGTGTATTTTATACGAGTTTGTTTTATTTTTTTGATTTTCCCCCCCACTTCCCCCCTATGGGGGTTTTCCCGATTTTCCATTCGTATATTCGCCTATATCTCGGAGACTATAAGACCAAATTTTAGTCCCAGATGCCTTATGTGAATACGCAGAAAATGTATATTTTGGAATTTCCCTCCCTCCCCCCTCTCCCCCGCAAATGCAATTTTCTCTAACTCCCGTAATTCTTGGAATTTCGAACTAAAATTTTGCAAATACCCCCAGTTAGTAATTATGTGTCCATATGCCAAGTTTCACTATAATAGACCGATTTACCAAGAAGTTATAGCCATAAATATATTTGCTGCTGCAGCGCTGCTCAAGCGCTGCCCGCGGCTGTTGTTGATGTTGCTGTTTGGTTGACTGCGAAAATGCTTACACAGACACGAATTGATGCGCATAGGCATACATACACTCACATAGACGCAATTGCTATGTAAATGTGCAATTATACACCCTTTACGTGAGTTCGAATACCGACAGAGGTAAAATCGATCCAATTTTTTTTAAATTTTTTTTTTATTTTCTATAATTATTGTAAACATATGTACAGAGTATTTCAAAGTCGGGACATCCGAGCTTTTTTATTTGTTATGGAAGAAATTGCGAATAAACGAGCATTTTGTCGTTTCTATTATTTTTTCCATCACTGTAGATGATTATACGAACGTCGTTTCCGAAAAACCTCATTACGGGGAAGTGAGGGGGGTATGTCAAAGAAATATAACAAACTTGCATACCGTAGGCATCTTTGTGCAAAATTTGGTATCTCCAGATTATAGTCTCTGAGGTACAGGTGTTCATACGAACAGACGCCCCGTAGATAGACTTGTTATGATTATGAATATACTCTTGTGCATTTAATGTAGAGTATAATTATTCAATAAATACATACATAACAGAAGACATATGTTTATTTACAGTTTCAACAGCATACATTTACATCAGAATCGTGTCTATGCGTGCTTATGTGCATGTATGTGTGCAGAATTAGGTCAAAGCAGCAACAACAGCTGCGGGCACATCTTAGGATTACATTTATGGCTATAACTTTCTTCATAATCGACCTATGATGATGAAACTTAACACACGGATACGTAATCACTAATTGAACGTTATTACCACATTAAGAAAACTCTAAAAATTACGGCAGCTATGAAAAAACACTAATGCGGGGAGTTGGGGGTGTATCAGAAAAAATAAGCAAACTTGATTTGCTTAGGGTTCAGGGGAACCAGAATTTGGTTATTCTAGCACTTTACTTGCTGAGATCCTTGCGTTCATCCAGACGCACAGACAGATAAACATGGCTATATCCAACCGTCATACTGATCAAGAATATATGTATATACTAGGGGGTCTGTAACGTCTCCTTCAGTGTGTTCCATACAGTCGCACTAAATAAGTATATTCTTTGGGTACAGGGTATGAAAAATTAAATAAACTCATATTGCCTGAATATAAGGAGAGTCTACATACTATGTTTGATGAATGTGGGCTCAGCCGTCTCTGAAATCCAGTCGTTCATCCAGACAGATTCGTTTCCTCTTGCTGATTAAAAAAATATTTATGGTTTATGGGGTCGGAGATGTTTCCTTCTCCCTATAAGATACGTCGCAATAACCTAATATACTGTTTTTATCCTTCGGGAATTGGGTAAACAATTTTTTTTAAAGCTCATAAGTGTGTATTTGAGTTTCAGTTTGAATTCAGTATAGCTACAAAAACATACATATGTAAATACATGTATGTTTATGTGAATTTGCTGTGGTTACCCCTTTATATAAACAAACTTATTATTAATACATTGATTACATTCTATTCAATACTATGTTGGTAGGTCTTCCTACAAAAAGAGGTATTCTGCCGGTAGTAAGACTCTCTCGTGGTCCCACATACGCACCCAAAGAGTGGCGCTCACGGTCGTGCTCAGTTGAAATGAGAGAATCATATTCTGTTTAAAAAATCTGCCCTCACTTCTCTTGTCTGTACAATGTTGCCGTTGACGCCAGGCAGCAACAGCGACGTTGCCCGTTGCCTTTCAACATAACCACAAAAATTAGTATGCCATCCATAAAGCATCACTAACTCTTTTTTTTGCCTATTCTTTTTGCTTAAGGAAGCACTCACTTGCAACGCTACATCCTCATATACAAATGTATGTAGATATACAAGTATGTATGGAGTTGTATCAAATTGTTGTGTTCGATTAACAACAAACGTAAATAATTGAAAACAATGACAACGCCGGTTGATATCGGCGTGTGCTGCAGCTGCTGTCGATGTTTTCGGTAGCAGCGTTATACAAAAACATGTTTCACTTAAAACCAAAGCAAAAATATGTTGCTTAGAGTTCCAAGTAGTTGCACACAGGCAACAAAATGAATTGACTTTCTTTGTTTTTGTTATGGTTTTTGCTTTTGCAGCTGCATCCAATACAAAGCGTTATATGTAATAATATTCAGACGACAACAATTTAGTGTTTTGAAAGGAAAAAGAAAAGAAGTTGCATGCGTACCAGGTAACAAGCGGTGGCGCATGTATAGCGGTGACAGCTAACAAAACACCGCGTCGCAACAGAGAAGAAACAGCGTAAAAAAATAGGAAGGACACTTAATACCGTTTTGACTATTCCCGCTTTTTTACACCTCCTTTGGACTTGTAGTTATTTCCCTTTTAATTACATTCAAAAAAAAAATTGAAAACACAAAAAAAAAAACTACACACACACACACACACGCAGTTTCGTGCGACAGAGAACGGCGCGACGACGACTTTTTTCACCAACTTTTTCGCAACTACTACCAAGAGTCTCTCTATGCAGAAGCGCGCTCAGCTCTGGGTTTTCGCTTATGAGTTGTTTTCGTAGTCTCTTTTTGTTTGTGCGGCGAAACTCTCGCACTCTCACTTACTTTTGAATGCCAGCGCTTCGTTTATTTTCGTTTATGTTATTTCGCCGAGTTTATTTGCTAGTCCGTTTTGTTGGTTGTTTCGTTTTGTTTGGCTATTTCTTTCGGACACACAAACCCACATACAATCACCCTGTAGCGCTCTCTGCAGCTGCTCCTTGCTTTATTTGTTGGTTGTGCCGCTGCTTTGTCTATGTACTGAGGCGTATTCTTAATAAAAATTACACAAAAACACGGATTATTGTCCCGGTGATATAATTAACATTATATAGTTATATTACACAGGTTGCAAATGCATTAAATTTGTAAATTTTCACGGGATTATTGTTCTAGCTTGCACTTGCACATATTTTTTCTCCCCTGTAATGGCGGATAGAGATGAGCGATGTGTACTTATCGGTTACTTTATCTCAAAATCGCAGCTGTGACATTACGACGCAATTCACAGGCCCAGTGTTGCAGCAGTAAATTCAAAGTACTTGCCAAAGCAACATTGAAACAGAATTTGTAATGGAGCTTTTGATTGGCGCAGCTGCTATTTTAAGGTGGATTAAAGCTTCACAAAAGCTTTCCCATTTACAATAACTTTCTACAGGAAACTAAACATGTGTTTGAAATTCGTTTCGGCGGTTTGGAGTTGCTTTAATAAAACATTATAATAATACAAACAAATGTGGTACAAATGCCAATATACATATATGAAATGTAAAAAAAAAATAAAGCATTAGAAAAAGGGATGTGAAATCTCAAACATTGACAATAAATATGGTGGCAAGGTTAAAAATGAAAATCACCAACTTGACAAGGTGAATGGCAGCACTCAATGCCTTGCCACCTGTAGTACATATTCTGTAACCATGAATTAATGACATGTTATTCGCAATAGACTATTTAATATTCCCATATATGTATGTATGTATGTACACATGTATATTACGAGTTTGATCAACATACATACATATGCGTATATTCACTACTATCCAAAGCAATAATCTGCTTATCGTGAAAAACAAATACTAGCCTAGGTTGGAGATTAGGATGCAGCAATTTTTACGTAACGGGTCCATATGCACAACGCATTTAAGGAAGTGCTATCCTTAAACTTTCAATCGCTAAATTTTCCAAACTATCGCACCCCCCCCCCCCCCCCCCCCCCCCCCCCCCCACTTCCTCACCCATGGAGAATTTTCGGAAACGCCGTTCGTATAATCATACATATCTCGGAGACTTTAGACTTGGGGACACCAAATTGTAGTCTAAGATGCATTATGTGATGCAGAAAATGTGAATTTCGGAATTTCCGTCCCTCCATGCAATTAGTGGATTTTCACGCCTCCAATACTTCTTGGAATTTCGAATTTTAACAAATGTGTCTAGTTAATGATTATGTGTCCACAAGCTAAGTTTCATCATGATAGGTCAATTTGAAAGGAAGTTATAGCCATAAATATAATATCCGCCGAAGCTCTGCCCACGGCTGTAATTGTTGCTACTTTGCACAGACACACACAACATTAAGTTAAAATTATAGCGTTATATTTTTGTATATTTTTATTGTAATCTGTATCGACTGCACAATTTATTAATGCCATTTGGGCTGTGCGTTGATCATCAATCAGTCAGTGAGTTACCCAGACAAATTGTTTTATATATTTATACATATGTATGTATATAATTACATATGTATGTATGTACATACATTGTATAGAGAAGTAGAATACAAATATACATATGTATGTATGTACATATGTATGTGTTTGGAAAATGTGTTGTATTGTTCTTCAAGGGGCGCAGAACTTAAATTGCATCCATATATCCCTGTTTGAATGCATGCCGCATTATTTTGAATATTTCATGATTTGCCTTGTCGCCGGCAATGTCCAGCGACAGTTGCCAAAATGCTGTGCCATGCATGTCTGACTCAAAAAGTTTAGATAACGCTTCGCAGTCTGATTCGGTGCCAAGAAGCCAAGGCTTGAAGTGCATGCAAACCATAGCACCATAGAAGGCATAACGGTTAAAGTGCGCCTCGAAGCGTTCAAAGCTGAAAGTAATAATATGTTATAAGCAAGAAAAAATAAATGGTATTTGTAATGCATATAAGTATGTACATATATGTATGTACGACAGCCGTGGGCACGTAGCGGATCTTTCGGCTCTCAGTGATCTTTCCGTTATGATTTGGTAAAGCAGACCATCCACAGGCCAATTTGTTCGGTTCGACGAAATGTTTGGCGTTAGTGAAAATGTTCGGATTAAATTTGACTGTTGACGGCCTGCTTAAGTGGCGCCAGCCATCCGCGAACGGTAAAAAAAAACACGCAGTGTGTGTGTGCCGCTGCTAGATTTTCAGTAGGATTTATTCGTGACTCTACCGGTGTGCCCACAGCTGATGTATGTATGTACATATGTATGTTAATAGGAAAGAATTATAAATACATAGATACATACATATGTACATGTCGAAAGTTGCCGGTTGTAATTATTCGAGAATGGCAAAAAACTGCAATCTATATTAAATCTTATTTTCCATATTGATAATCAGGCTGTAAGATTGGGATTAGAGATAAGATGGTAATACTATACCTGTAATTGTCCAGAATACCCTGCAGATCAGCTTCTGACAGCGTATTTCTATTGCGTTGCAGCACCAGCTCTAACACCTCGTGCATGTGCTTATGATACTTTCTCAGCAAGCTCGCAAATAATATGTCACGATCTTCAGGCGGCGTGTTCATGTACATGAAAAAGCTTAAGTCGATGGCCGGTGTGCTATAGCGAAGCTCCTGGAAGTCAATCACTTTAATACCGTTGACGGTACCGTCGCCAACGCCGTGGCTATTAGAGTAGTGAAAGAGAACGTTGTTGCGATTAAAATCTCCATGCAGAAAAGTGCTGAAGTAGCTATCCGTTTGCGCAGTGTCGTATGAGCCTGTACGAATGCGCTCTAATAACTTCACGGGGTGGGCAAAATACTTTTCCCGTAGCAGCTCTAACGCACCAGCAAACCGCCTATCCTGCTCCAGTTCGTCCACTTTAAGCAAATCCTGTCTCTTCCTATCATAAAATTTGTAAAAACGCTCCATGGCAGCACTATAGAGCACGTGGTAGATGTTTGTGGTTTGAGTGGCATCGGCCACAAATGGCAACGGGATCACCCCAGCTCTAAGGCGCTCGTGCACTTGCGGCTGTACCACACGCAGGGCATAGCCAAGAGCATGGTAGGTGCCTACAACGGCGCACATGGCCTCCAATTGATCGTGGCGCAGTACAATACGGGGTCCAAGCGAAAAACCATCGGTCGTTAGGTGCTTGAGCGCCAGTACGGATTCGAGATCTTCACCCAAGCCTACAAGGTGTTTCCGTTTTTTAGCGCCATGCTGCACGTGATTGTAGAAGTTAAAGGACCAGGCTTACCCTCAATACGGCCGAACTCAGCACGATAGCACCTCGGCACCATATCCACTGCAAGGTTTGTAGAGAGTTTGCTGCTTCGCAACAAGTGCTCAAAGGCAGGAATGATTTCAGCATAGACGAACACCTCATTGGCAAATTGTGTGTAAGATTTGCTAGAGCTGCGAAATGCCTTGTTGCCCTTCATAAACTTAACCAAAACAGTTTCTTTTCTTGGCCTTTTAGTATGTTTTTAAAATTATCTTGTACGTTATATTGATATTACGGTCTTGTACTTACTCGCCCGATATCTCTAGCTCTAGCTCGACGTTATATAACGCCGACATGAAACCATCCAAGCCATTGGAACACTCCACCCGATGTGAGACTAGTTTAGCTTCCTTTCCAAAATATTTAGAAATCTCAAAGACTAAATTTTTTTCAATATAAGTTAATTGTTCTTGTTGTGTAGACATTTTGGCAATGAAGCAAAACAAAAAAACAATTGACTAACGATTTCACAAACTAACAAATCTATTATCTCAGTTATACGTCGAGTGTTTAGATCATACGCTGTTACGATAAAGGGCCTTAATTAACAAATAATACTAGTCGAGTTTTGTTTTGATCTCAAGTTGCTTATCTAGCGGTAGTATCGATAAAAAGAGATGTCTTGCAAAAACGTAACTGCTATCGACTTCTACATACATAAAACAAAACTTATATTAGCAATATTATACCACACTAACAATAGCCATTAAATAAATAAAAAACAACACTACGTCGCTGCATAACAATTAGTAGAACATGAGCTTTGCTTTTTGACGATTTTTAAATAGTAATAGAGATGGGCGGTATTATGATTATGGTGTCACTGTGTTAATTGTAACGAAATGGTGTCAGTGGAACAAACCTGTGACTGACGATATTTTAAGTTTTATTCAAAATTTCGCTGATAGGGTGCTTATTCAAATTCTCTACTACATTCTGCATTATTCAAATAAACTAGAAAATTTAATTGCCCATGTGATTCCCCATTGTTGCATAAAGTATAAAGTCACTGTCAGTCCGCGATAAAAATTGCAGCAAATAGTGATATTGGTCCTCCAAATTTTAACATTTTGTTACTGCTTGTGACAAATCACAGGTGTTTGCTTATCGCTAACCTCTAATAGTTAGGCTGTTGATGTTGCATGTGCACCAAGGAAAATCAAATTTTTCGCTTAAGCATACAACTGCGAAAATTCTCAGCACTTATCAAATGTGTTCTGTCAACACAGCGGCTTCTCAACATTTTTTTGGCAGGCCATCCACACGCGAGCAAGCTGTCTGAACTTGCTGTCGGCATAAATACATACATTTGCCCACTGACGTAGCGAACATTGTTTGCGAACATCACTTGACAAAAAATTTTGACAAGTGCGGACGTTTAGATGGATGCCGACGGAAATACAATTTTATCCTTAATGGCGATTCAAATATGGATATTTTTTTATACTTCCTATGCATTATTGCGCAAATGTTTATTCCTGTATTCGTCGCTTTTGTTTTTCCACAACGACGGCACATTATGCAAGGATTCTATAAAATCTAGCACAAATTTATTACTCATTTTCACAAGTGTGTACTTCCCAAATATTTCTTTTACAAATGATGATGGGGCAACACTGTTGGCACGAATTTTGCGGCAAGATAGAAACATTTCTATTCTACACGAGCATTTCAGTAGTACTCGAATACTCAAACTCAACCCGAACATCTCCAGTAACGTCGAACACAAAAAAAACAAAAACAAAAATCGATGCAATTCAAAAAATATTGATGCATTGATGCTTTAAAATATAAGCTTCGTAGAAAAAGAGGCTTATATAAACTGTACATATATTCCAAAACTAATTTTCTGCGTAATCACATAAGGCATTTCGAACTAAAAATTTTGTGATAGATCGACTTGTCTTGTCATGCTGATTAAGAATATACATACATATGTATATACATACATTGTAAGGTCTGCTTCCTGTTTGATTTTTCAGCTACCGCAAACCTAATATACTCTTATACATTTCATGTACAGAGCATAACAAAGAACGCCAAATATCAAACAGTTGGGGACATCACAGTGACATACTCGCAGACACAAACAGAGATGGGCCAAGGCGGTGCTTTTAATTGTTCGTGGTACGTCTTTGTACTGCGTGGACACGAGTGCCGTGTTTCAATTCCAATTTCGTGCGTGTTCGTGTTGACACAATAAAGCACGAAAAGACACGAACGTGAAAATGCGATGGAAACAAAAACAACACGACCAAAATATAATTTAAAGTTAGTATTTGCCATCATACAAATTTCACACATACATACCACACTTACAGTGCTGCCATTTTTTTAATTAAAAACATGTAAAAAAGCTAAATTCTGGTGTACCGACTTTGAAATACTCTGTACATATGTTTAGAATAATTATAGAAATTAAAAAAAAATTTTTTTGATCGATTTTACCTCTTTTGGTATTCGAACTCACGTAAAGGGTGTATAATTGCACATATGTATACAAAGCAATTGCGTCTATGTGAGTGTATGTATGTATATGCTCGTATATTCGTGTCTTTGTAAGCATGTTCGCAGTCAACCAAAACACCAGCATCAACAACAGCCGCGAGCAGCGCTTGAGCAGCAAATATATTTATGGCTTTAACGTCTTGTTAAATCAGTCTATCATAGTGAAACTTGGCATACGGACACATAATAACAACTGAGGGTATTTCCAAAATTTTAGTGCGAAATTCCAAGAATTACGGGAGTTACGATTTGCGGTGTAGAGGGGGGAGGGCACCTGGGACTAAAATTTAGGCGATTATACGAATGGAAAATTGGGAAAACCCCCATATGGGGGAAGTGGGGGGGGGGGGAATCAAAAAATAAAACAAACTCGTATAGATTACACACATAAGGCATCTTTGTGCGAAATTTGGTGTCTCTATCTCTTATAGTCGCTGAGATCCAGGTGTTCATACGGACGGACAGACAGACAGGGCTAGATCGACTCGTCTCGTTATGCTGATCAAGAATAAATATACTTTGTGGGGTCTGCCACGCCTCCTTCTGCCTGTTACATTGTTCAGCTCCCGCAAACCTAATATACTTCTGTACATTTCATGTACAGAGTATAAAAACATCTATCTAAGGTGCGCGAAATAAGTAAGTAGGACAACACATTTTTTAACGTAACAACTGAACTATATATTATATTTCAACCAAATAAATTTTTTTTGAAACTTAAATAGCTAACAATTCATATGAGTCTTTGGCAAGGCCATACAAATAAAAGTAATAGATAAAAAAAATAAAATAAAATATATCCATACGAAATAAGTAAGTAGGACAAAGTAAAAAATCGTACTTCTTGATTTTTATTTCTAAGAGAACGCCTTAATTTAATACGTAGAGTTTAAATTGACTCTCCTTTTTTATTTAACACGGCCAATATTCGTCCTGGCATAGAATTTATTAAAGATTGAAGGATAGAAATTTCCAATTTGCCCCATTCTTCAATAATGGATTCTTTTAAGTCTTTTAGACAATTGTATTGTTTTCCATTTATGTACACTCGCTGAGATAAAATGCCCCAAAGGTTTTCAATAGGGTTCAGGTCAGGGCTTCGAGCTGGCCACTTCAAAACTGGAATTTTGTGTTCCGCAAAGAAAGTTTGTGTGCGCTTTGCAGTATGGATTCTCGCATTGTCGTGCTGAAATGTCCATACATCTCCAAAATATTCCTTCCCAAAGTTTACCAAAACTCAATCTAACAGTTCAACATAATATTCGGCATTCATGGAATGTGTCACAAAACAAATAGGAGACTTTCCATTATAGCCAAACGCGGCCCAAATCATTAGAGATCCACCATGAAAATTTCTCGATACGCGGACTTTCTTTGGACTACGTAAATCGCGATAATAATAACGATATCCATCCGGGCCGTCCAAGTTAAATTTTTTTTCATCGCTAAATATAACATTCCGCCATTCTAAGTCCCAAAATTTGTACGAGTCGGCAAATTGCACCCGAGCTGCTTTGTGTCGAGCAAGTAGTTCTGGTTTAAGGAGTTTTTATACCCTGTACCCGTAGGGTAAAAAGGGTATATTAGGTTTGTGCAAAGTATGTAACATACAGAAGGAAGCATCTCCGACCCCATAAAGTATATATATTCTTGATCAGCATGACGAGAGAAATCGAACTAGACATGTCCGTCCGTCTGTCCGTCCGTCTGTCCGTCCGTCTGGATGAACGCGAGGATCTCAGAAACTATAAAAGCGAGAATAACCAAAGTTGGCATCCAGATTCTCCTAGGTCCGAGTAAGGACGAGTTTATTTTATTTTTTTTAATTTTCCCCCCCTTCCCCCGCTACAGAATTTCGTCAATAGCGTCCACATTTCAAATGCTACCTAAACCAAACTTTGCACACTAATTTGTATATAATTGTCTATTGTTGTCCAAAATTTCGGTCAATTCTAAGAAAAGTTATTAGCGAAACAAATTCTCACCAGTACAACCCCCACAAACTGCAGCAACAAGTTCGCTCTTCTTCTTCCTCTTTTTGCTGCTGCTATGGGCGCATATAACTCAGTGACGCAAGTTTACCTGGGTACAGGGTATTACACTGTCGGGCTTGCTCGACTGTAGCGTTCTCTCTTGTTTTTCATATGAAATGTTCTCACAGGACTGTAAAATTTGTTGTACTCGTCTACTGGACACTGGAAGAGACAATTCATGCCGAATCTGTGAGGCACTAATGTTTTCGTTGACCGCCAGGGATTTAATTCTTCGAACATCACGAGAATTTATTAGTGGTGGGCGACCAGAACGTGGCTTTTTACCTTGATTTTGTGGATCTTTCAGAAAATTTTCCACAGTACGTTTACTTCTGCGCACTTTCTCCGAAATTTTCCGAATCGACATACCCATTTCTCGTAGTGCCTGTATTTGACCACGGTCTTCATCAGTTAAACGGCTGAAAACCGACATGTCTTTACCAAAAAAATCGTATTATTCCTCCGAAAAACGGTGGTTTTTATAAAAACTTACTTCTTTTGATTTGTTTTATCGTTTAACGATAAATTTAATTCAAAAATCTGGAATTTTACGTGTTACAATAGCTGCATCACATCAAAGACTAAACTGTCCTACTTACTTATTTCGCACGCAAAAGTGAGGTAGTCCGGCTATTAATAGGCATAACGGGACAACCTAACGGTTCTTATCAAATATTTTATATGCCACTTTGAGAGCAAAGAGTAAACAAATTATGGTGGGAAGATGAAATGCAAAAAATGCATAGTGCAGATGCAACAACAATAAATGTGTTTGTCCTACTTACTTATTTCGCGCACCTTATCTATTTTTTTAACTCCCGTAATTCTTGGAATTTCGAACTAAAATTTTGCAAATACCCCCAGTTGGTTATTATGTGTCCGTATGTCAGTTTCACTATGATAGACCGAATTTACGAAAAGTTATAGCCATAAATATATTTGCTGCTGCAGCGCTGCTCAAGCGCTGCCCGCGGCTGTTGTTGATGTTGCTGTTTGGTTGACTGCTAACATGTTTACACAGACACGAATAGGTGAGCATAGGCATACATACACTCACACAGACGCAATTGCTATGTAAATGTCCAATTATACACCATTTACGTGAGTTCGAATACCGAGAAAGGTAAAATCGATCAAATTTTTTTTTTTAATGTTTATAACCTGTACCCGTAGGGTAACAAGAGAGAACGCTACAGTCGAGCAAGCCCGACAGTGTAATACCCTGTACCCAGGTAAACTTTCGTCACTGAGTTATATGCGCCCATAGCAGCAGCAAAAAGAGGAAGAAGAAGAGCGAACTTGTTGCTGCAGTTTGGGGAGGTTGTACTGGCGAGAATTTGTTTCGCTAATAACTTTTCTTAGAATTGACCGAATTGAATAGACAATTATATATAAATGATGTGTGCAAAGTTTGGTTTAGGTAGCATTTGAAATGTGGACGCTATTGACGAAATTCTGTAGCGGGGGAAGAGGGGGAAAATTCCAAAAAATAAAATAAACTCGTCCTTTCTCGGACCTAGGAGAATCTGGATGCCAACTTTGGTTATTCTAGCTTTTATAGTTTCTGAGATCCTCGCGTTCATCCAGACGGACGGACAGACGGACGGACGGACGGACATGTCTAGACCTTTTTACCCTACGGGTACAGGGTATAAAAAGTGTATATTAGGTTTGTGCAAAGTATGTAACATGCAGAAGGAAGCATCTCCGACCCCATAAAGTATATATATTCTGAATCAGCATGACGAGAGAAATCGATCTAGACATGTCCGTCCGTCTGTCCGTCTGGATGAACGCAAGGATCTCAGAAACTATAAAAGCTAGAACAACCAAAGTTTGCATCCAGATTCTCCTAGGTCCGAGAAAGGTCGAGTTTATTTTTTTTTTTTTTTAATTTTCCCCCCTTCCCCCGCTACAGAATTTCGTCAATAGCGTCCACATTTCAAATGCTACCTAAACCAAACTTTGCACACAATTTATATATAATTGTCTACTGTTGTTCAAAATTTTATTCAATTCGGTCAATTCTAAGAAAAGTTATTAGCAAAACAAATTCTCGCCAGTACAACCCCCACAAACTGCAGCAACAAGTTCGCTCTTCTTCTTTCTCTTTTTGCTGTTGCTATGGGCGCATATAACTCAGTGACGGAAGTTTACCTGGGTACAGGGTATTACACTGTCGGGCTTGCTCGACTGTAGCGTTCTCTCTTGTTTTTATACCCTGTACCCAAAAGGGTACAAGGGTATATTAGTTTTGTGCGAGTGCACATGGAACACACAGAAGGAGGCTTGGTAGACCCCACAAAGTATATATATTCTTGATCAGCATGACAAGCCGAGTCGATATAGCCATGTCCGTCTGTCCGTCTGTCCGTCTGTCTGTCCGTCTGTCTGTCTGTATGAACGCAAGGATCTCCGAAAGTATAAGAGCTAGAATAACCAAACTTGGTATACAGATTCTCCTGAGACCGAGAAAGGACGAGTTTGTTCATTTTTTCTGATCCACCCCCCCACTCCCCCCCTATTAACGATTTTCTATAACTTCCGTAATTCTTGGAATTTTGAACTAAAATTTGGTAGTCACATTAGGTTAGTTATTATATAACCGTATACCAAGTCTCATTATGATAGAATGATCGGAAAGAAAGTTATAGCCATATAACCAGGCCCAATGCACACATACATACATATGTACAAGTACACAAACACGCATAAGGCACGATTCTGATGTAAATGTAAATGTATGTATGCATGCATGGAATATTTTATATTTAATTTAGTTAATTAATTAAATTAATTTAGTTAATTAATTAAATTTAATTAATTAATTAATTTAATTACTTTTTTGTGGGGTGGTACAGGGTATTTAAGAGTTGAGCCTGCTCGACTTTAGCATTCCTTTCTTGTAATAATCAAGATACCTTACCAGAATCTTTTTGAATGTTTTCTTTGTTAACGTCACCATCAGAGGTTTTGCTCTTGGCCTCTAAAATGGAAAAATTTAATTAAAAATTAGTTTTTGTTTACCACTCTTTTATATCGGTGAAAAAAATTTTATACTTACTGTATAACGCCTCATTCATCTTTTTGCATAGGCCTTCGAGAAGTTCTTTTGATTATACATAAACGTAAATATGTACATACGAATGTACATAAGTATGTGTGCATGTTAGTATAACCAAATTTACGATGCAACTTACCACTGGAATTAATCATTTCTGCTTCAAAAGTAGCTCCATTTTTTTTTGTTAAACAAATGTTTTTATACCCTGTACCCGTAGGGTAAAAAGGGTATATTAGGTTTGTGCAAAGTATGTAACAGAAGGAAGCATCTCCGACCCCATAAAGTATATATATTCTTGTTTTTACTGCATACAAGTACGCATAGACACCATTCTGGTGTAAATCTATGCTGTTGAAATTTTACGTAAACACTTGTCTGTATGCATGTGTTAAATATTTTATATTTCATTAAGTTAATTAATTACATTTATTATTTTTATACTCTGTACATAAAATGTACAAGAGTATATTAGGTTTGCGGGAGCGCTGCTCAAGCGCTGCCCGCGGCTTTTGTTGATGCTGGTGCTTTGGTTGACTGCAAACATGCTTACACAGACACGAATAGACGCGCATAAACATACATACACTCACATAGACGCAATTGCTTTGTATATGCTTTGTATTATACACTCTTTACGTGTGTTCGAATACCGAGAGAGGTAAAATCGATCAAGTTTTTTTTCCAATTTCTAAAATTATTCTACACATACATATGTACTGAGTATTTCAAAGTCGGACACCCGACTTAAGCTTTTTTGTACCCAAAGGGTACAAGGGTATATTAGTTTTGTGCGAGTGCACATGGAACACACAGAAGGAGGCTTGGTAGACCCCACAAAGTATATATATTCTTGATCAGCATGACAAGTCGAGTCGATATAGCCATGTCCGTCTGTCTGTATGAACGCAAGGATCTCAGAAAGTATAAGAGCTAGAATAACCAAACCAGATTCTCCTGAGGCCGAGAAAGGACGAGTTTGTTCATTTTTTTCTGATCCAACCCCCCCCCCCCCCCCCCCCCCCCCCTATTCAAGATTTTCTATAACTCCCGTAATTCTTGGAATTTTGAACTAAAATTTGGGTGTCGAAGTTTCATTATAGAATGATCGGAAAGAAAGTTATAGCCATATAACCAGGACCAATGCACACATACATACATATGCACAAGTACACAAACACGCATAGACACGATTCTGATGTAAATGTATGTATGCACGTATGAAATATTTTATATTTAATTTAGTTAATTAGTTTAATTAAATTAAATAATTCATTTAATTAATTTAATTTCTTTTTTGTGGGGTGGTACAGGGTATTTAAGAGTTGAGCCTGCTCGACTTTAGCATTCCTTTCTTGTTTTGTTATTCTTTATTAGGTCAGAGGTTTTCTGTAAAAGTTATTTGATGTTTTATTTTGTGGTAGCAAAATAAATTGATTTTCAGGACCTCCGACCCGTGATAGGTCCACATACAGCAAAACATTGCTTTCATATGTCGACCCCTACTAATTCGAAGGCTTGGTTTTGGGACTACCGGAAATTGAAGCCGTATAAATGATCAAATGGGATCATCGGTATCTTCAGTATCCTCGTTATATGAGCTAGTTGACCAGTTGCTGGGCAGTTGATAATAGTTGCTGCACTTAAATTGTTTAATAAGCAGCCTCCTCCCATTGCACATGCTTGGAAGGGTTTAATTTCTCAAAAGCATGATTGCAATTCCGAATTTTACCGTCAATTCATGTGGCGGCAGCCCAGAAGGTTTAGTGAATTTAAATGTCTTCAATATTAATCACGGTGTCGATCGATTTGTAATTTTTTATTTGGCTGGGGGCTTCTGAATAATATTGCCTTAATATTAAAAGTGACAATGTTCGAGAATTATTATGAAGTAACAGCTTGCTATTCAGGAGTTTTTTAAGGTAATTGTTGTACACCTTTGGTTACATTATTGGCGTTTTAGTAAGGATTCCATTATTTTTGCAAATATAATATAGCCCATCTTTATCGTCGATAGTGTAGCTTCCCAACAGTGAAAGAATCCATTAAATTGGTCCAGTAGATTCCGAGCCTTTTCAATTCAAACAAACAAACAAACAATCAAATCTTTCCTCTTTATAATATTAGTATATATATATATATATATATATATATATATATATATATATATATATATATATATATATATATATATATATATATATATTACATATATTATTATTTACCATAACATAAATGAAACACATAGAAGAATACAAATACAGCTTCAACTTGGGGTTAAGTCTTATTTAATAACTTATTTCATTTCATTATTGATTAATTAATCTTTATATATGCAAATCTATTGGCCATATAATCTTGACGAGCTTGGGATCTTACTACATATAGCACTCTGTAGAAAAAATTTGATCCCATACAAGACCGACCACTGTGCAATGGCATACATGAGAAAACCATATAAGTCTTACATTTTAAATTAAGTATGTGATATAATGGACAAATAACTCAATATCACAATTTTTTTAGTGGAAAGGATGTACTTCAAGGGTAGTTTAATAAGAGTTTAACCAAACTTTGACACTGACTCTAAAAATAACAAAAATTGTACCTACATTATTGTAAGGGAATTTGCAATAATCTTTTTTTTACTTTTTGTGCATATTATTTATTTTGTTGAAATAAATTGAAGTGTATTTAACTCAGTGCTGGAAGTTTGGTTGGGTACAGGGTATTTCACTGCCGAGACTGCTCGACTGAAGCGTTCTCTCTTGTTTTAATTTCATTCAGAATTTTCGGCATTAGTGTCATTCTATTTTTTACAGCAAACCACGGAAAAGTCAAAATTAAGAATATTTCCAACTGCCATGTAAAAAAAAACCAAATACACACACAATACAAACATAACAAAAATAGGTCTGGTGCACATTTATACTACCGGAAAGTATTCATGAGTTGTGTGCTACCTTCGACTCGACCCAAAAGACTTTCTCCTCAGACAGCGAGGTACGGAGTACCACAGCCAAACGTAGACCAGCAAATGGGAGGCTTTCTAGATAAGCCCATTACGGAAAAACATGTCAATATTGGCTGTGGCAATGGTATCCGATACTGTGTAAGCTCGATGCAGGGCTGGCGACTGGAGATGGAGGACTCACATACTACCAACTGCCGCCTTCCTAAGCCCTACGAAGACTGGAGCTTTTTCGCTGTCTACGACGGCCATGCGGGCCATCGCGTAGCTTCACACTGCTCAACAAAAATGCTCGATGCTATATTGAGCACTGAAGCGTTTACCAAAGGTCAGTACGCCGCAGGAATACGTGCGGCCTTTCTTAAAATTGATGAAGATATGCGATTGCTTCCACTGGAAAAACCTGGTGGTAGCACCGCTGTATGCGTCTTTGTCACGCCACAACAATATATCTTTGCAAATTGCGGCGATTCGCGCGCTGTTCTTTCGCGCCGTGGATTGGCTGTGTTCAGTACTCGTGACCACAAACCAACTCTACCATTAGAGCGCGCACGTATACAGAAAGCTGGTGGTAGTGTTATAATTCATCGCGTTAATGGCACGTTAGCCGTTTCACGTGCCTTAGGTGACTTTGACTTTAAAAGTGATGCCTTGCGAACCCCTTGTGATCAGCTGGTCTCACCGGAACCAGATGTGACAACACGGGAACGCATTGAGAAAGATGAATTTCTGGTTGTTGCTTGCGACGGTATCTGGGATGTGATGACTAGTGACGAAGTCTGTGCCTTTATTCACTGGCGCATGCGCGTGACGGACAACCTTCCACTTATCGTAAACAGCATCCTAGATGTGTGTCTCTATAAAGGCAGCCGCGATAACATGAGTCTTCTGCTGGTTATCTTGCCTGGTGCGCCGGGGGTGTGCGCAGATGCAGTTTTACAGGACAGACTTCTCGATGAAGCTGTAGCAGAGAAGACGCGGCAGGTTATACACGATAATAACATTGTCGACTTTGACGATCTATTGCGCGCAATGAATGGTGTTGATATCATAATTTCTAACTTACCGCCAGGCGGTGGTATATATGCAAAATATCACATAATCGAACGCGTTTTCCGCGAGATGTTTCCGAACAAGACTGCGGACTTTTTCGAGTTCAGCCATATAACGGGTCTTTAAGACTGGATGACACTGAAGCTCTTTAAATTTAAAAATAGCTTAATAGGCTTACATGGTAAAAAGACTAAACCTGTGCGCGGTATATTTATTTCCATATACTTTATCTTTCAAATTCGCAGCGGGTGTATTAACTGATTATTTGGCTACGAAATAAAATTATGACTGTGATTGTGTTGTTTGTTCATGCTGGTCCTATAAAGTACGAAGCTAAGCCTCCAACGCTAAGCCTCCAACGCGGCTGCTATTCATTTTTGCCAATGATACCCAATCTTTCTTATATTCTCTACATACACGAGAGCACATTTATTTGCATAAAAGTATTTGAACCGTTGTTTACTGTTGTTTAAGTTTTAAAAAAATAGCTTAACAGAAAGTACTTATTGACATCATAATGCATGTCTTCACTCTCCCTATATATTCACTCACAGGCACCATCAAAGAGCACCTTATATTTCGGCAGCGGCACGTCCCTTTTATGTGCTACACGCGCACACTGGAGCTCATTCTTAAACTCGCAGGGCGTCGCATATGTAATTAGTTCACCATCACGGCTTACACAGAGCGGGCGGTAGTAACGTGGGCAAATTTTTTCACAGCTCCGTTCGTCAATGCTCGATTGCAATGTCGGATCTTTATCAACATCCCCAATGTCCTTTGCATCAGTGATATGACTTATATCCTCTGCTTCATTATCATTTCTCGCATTCAAGATGTGAGCCTCATTGACGTTGGCCACGCGGGCCACAAATTTAACCTTCAGCTCTGCTAACGCTTGGCTGATGAACAGGGCTATCAATAGCGTAATGGCTGTGTGGCGCATGCTGACATCTATATCTCTATTAGAAAACTGTATTCCGGAAACGTGTCTCATTTCTTTTTTATATTAACCGAGGCCCAGTCAGAACCTTTGCCTTCGTGGGCACCTTGCGGGTTTCTTTATACAGTTGTGCAAATACCAGCGAGACACAGTGCTTTTGGTCCATACGTCATAGATAGTACAGGGTGCGCCATCTTTTATGTCGGGATGCAAACATTGAATATCCTTGAAAATAAACAACCGATTTTCAAGTATGAGATATTTTTATTTAATTTGGTTCTGTACAATTTCTTGAACTGAGGTTTTCAGCACTGGTCTACTCAAGTCAATCGGTTCACTAATGACAAAGTTATTCAATATCTACATACCGACATAAAAGATGGCGAACCCTGTATAGTGGTTAAGAAAACATCACTTACGAGTATATACGAGTATGTAAATAAATAAATGTTTTTAGTGGGGCTCCCCATCGCCAAAGCAAAATAAGTGGAGAAGCTAAAGTCAGGTTTCCCGACTTTTAAATACTCTGTACATACATATGTGTAGAATACTTATAGAAATTAAAAAAAATTGTGAACATTTAAAAAATAAAAAAATTGTATGCAGCAACAATAAACAAGAGAGAACGCTACAGCCGAGCAAGCCCGACAGTGAAATAATACAGTAAATAATAGGGAGGGAGGGAAATTCCAAAATACACATTTTCTGCGTATTCACATAAGGCACCTGGGACTAAAATTTGGTGTCCGGAGGTCTTATAGTCTCCGAGATATAGGCGATTATACGAATGGAAAATCGGGAAAACCCCAATAGGGGGGAAGTGGGGTCTGCCACGCCTCCTTCTGCCTGTTACATTTTTCAGCTCAGAGTATAAACATCGTGTTATGTACATACCAGAGAACTGCAACGAGTACTACATTTTCGGTCATACTCGTGTATTTACCCATACTCGGTATGATTATTTCATTTGGGTATAGTGACAAGCAATAACTGGTTGCGAACGAGCCCTCAACGAACAGTCAGTTCGAATCAAAACTGCAAAAACTCAGAAGTGAGCGGTTGTGACTGAAACTTCTTGCATGAATGCAAGCAATGATTGGTTTTAAACGAATCCTCACCAACCAGTCAGTTCGACTCACAACTGCAAAGACTCAGAATGAGCGGCGGTGACCGAAACATTTTACCTGCGTGCAAGAAATGATCGAACGTCGTACTTACAATCATACCCGCATAACCGAAATGACCAATGATATCGGCGGGTGCACGTGCACTTGCATTTTCTATTGGGTTTTCGGCTATTAGTTCAATAGTAACTTCATATACAAGTATGTAATGCATATAAATAAAAGAATCCAACAAAACTATTAGCGAAAAGAAATACCTTCCTTTTTATTTAAATTAAAAAAACGGTCATTCTGCAAAGTCTGGCTTGCTTCAATCAGGACCCAGTCATCTTAAACGAAGTGACCGAGCCTGAAGTGTTTGAAAGCAAACCAATCAAGGCTGGTACCCGTTCGCAACGAACATAATACTCGAAGTGACCGAGCCTGAACTGTTTGAAAGCAAACCAATCAAGACCGGTGCTTGTTCGTAAAAATAGAAAGATTGCTCATGCAAGTTCGATCATAAGAAAAATGCTGAGAGTACTCAACTCGTTCGAGCTCGTTTGCAGCCAAGCAAAGATCTAATTTGATTGACAAACAAATATCAAATAGTTGGGGACATCACATACACACACTCGCTCTTCTTCTTCTTTTGTTTTGACCATTTAATGTTAATTGCAAAGGCAACATGCCAAAAGTTTACAGTTACCGTCGCTAGGCAACGACTGCGTAAGCGATAGTAAAGCAGAAACCGAATAACGGAGCTACGCATATTCTGCTTCGCATTGCGGGCAGATGTATGTATGTATATGATTTGTTCTTATTGATCTCAATAAATAATTAGATTTTATTATTTAAATATTCTGCTTATTGCATTCAAACTTCGATATTTTGATGGTATCAGTGGCTTCAACTATCGAAAGTTTTACTCTAGCAAATTGAGATGAGAATTGTCAGTGCTTTTTGATCGTCGCTCATCGCTGCACGGCATTGACACGAGTGCCGTGTTTCATATTCCGAGTTTGTGCGTGACCGTATTGACTCAATATGGCACGAAAAGACTCAAATGTGAATTTAAAATTAGGATATACCCTTATAATTATTCCCCTTTTTTGCACATAGTCTATCTTAAAACGTTGCGCTATCTCTATATATAAAACAGTTTGTCCTGACTAATTGGTGATCAACGCACAGCCCAAACAGTAAACAAGTAAAAAAGCTAAAGTCGGGTGTCCCGACTTTGAAATACTCTGTACATATGTTTACAATAATTATAGAAAATAAAAAAATTAAGAAAAAAAAAAAATTTGATCGATTTTACCTCTCTCGGTATTCGAACTCACGTAAAGGGTGTATAATTGCACATTTACATAGCAATTGCGTCTGTGTGTATGTATGCCTATGCGCATCAATTCGTGTCTGTGTAAGCATTTTCGCAGTCAACCAAACAGCAACATCGACAACAGCCGCGGGCAGCGCTTGAGCAGCGCTGCAGCAGCGCTGCATCAGCAAATATATTTATGGCTATAACTTCTTGTTAAATCGGTCTATCATAATGAAATTTGGCATACGGACACATAATAACCAACTGGGGGTATTTCCAAAATTTTAGTTCGAAATTCCAAGAATTACGGGAGTTAGAGAAAATCGCATTTGCGGGGTAGAGGGGGGAGGGAGGGGAATTCCAAAATATACATTTTCTGCGTATTCACATAAGGCATCTGAGACTAAAATTTTGTGTTCCTAGGTCTTATAGTCTCCGAGATATAGGCGATTATACGAATGGAAAATCGGGAAAACCCCCATAGGGGGGAAAATCAAAAAAATAAAACAAACTCGTATAGAATACACACATAACGCATCTTTGTGCAAAATTTGGTGTCTCTATCTCTTATAGTCTCTGAGATCCACGTGTTCATACGGACGGACAGACAGACAGACAGGGCTAGATCGACTCGTCTCGTCATGCTGATCAAGAATATATATACTTTGTGGGGTCTGCCACGCCTCCTTCTGCCTGTTACATTTTTCAGCTCCCGCAAACCTAATATACTCTTGTACATTTCATGTACAGAGTATAAAAATTTTGACTCAAGTATCCTTTCATAGTATCCATCATAGTGTAGGAGCACACACAAGAAAGGCTTTTGGAAAATTCTAGCTCCAAAGGGGGGAAAACGAGCTTTAAACAAGTAAAAAAGCTAAAGTCGGGTGTCCCGACTTTGAAATACTCTGTACATATGTTTACAATAATTATAGAAAATAAAAAAATTAAGAAAATTAAAAAAAAACAAAAATTGATCGATTTTACCTCTCTCGGTATTCGAACTCACGTAAAGGGTTTATAATTGCACATTTACATAGCAATTGAGTCTGTGTGAGTGTATGTATGCCTATGCGCATCTATTCGTGTCTGTGTAAGCATTTTCGCAGTCAACCAAACAGCAACATCAACAACAGCCGCGGGCAGCGCTTGAGCAGCGCTGCAGCAGCAAATATATTTATGGCTATAACTTCTTGGTAAATCGGTCTATCATAGTGAAACTTGGTATACGGACATATAATAACCAACTGGGGGTATTTCCAAAATTGTAGTTCGAAATTCCAAGAATTACGGGAGTTACGATTTGCGGGGTAGAGGGGGGAGGGAGGGAAATTCCAAAATATACATTTTCTACGTATTCACATAAGGCATCTGGGACTAAAATTTTGTGTTCCTAGGTCTTATAGTCTCCGAGATATAGGCGATTATACGAATGGAAAATCGGGAAAACCCCCATAGGGGGGAAAATCAAAAAAATAAAACAAACTCGTATAGAATACACACATAACGCATCTTTGTGCAAAATTTGGTGTCTCTATCTCTTATAGTCTCTGAGATCCAGGTGTTCATACGGACGGACAGACTGACAGACGGACAGACAGACAGACAGGGCTAGATCGACTCGTCTCGTCATGCTGATCAAGAATATATATACTTTGTGGGGTCTGCCACGCCTCCTTCTGCCTGTTACATTTTTCAGCTCCCGCAAACCTAATATACTTCTGTACATTTCATGTACAGAGTATAAAAATATTAGTTATAGTGGTCATGTTCGTTTAACGAAATAGTTTGGCAAGAACAAAAATGTAACGGACTACTGAACAATTTTTTGTCAAGAACAGAAAATGTTCATTTAAATACCTTAAATACCTTCCTACTGGTAACTTATAAGGTGAAAACATATGGGTAGGTTATGCACACACAAAATAAATACAATTGGAAACATTATATTGAGGCGGGTTAAGACGGGCCATACCTGCTAGTATGTATATATATATACTAGTAGGTCTTGCCCGTCTTTGCTGGGCTAAGTAAAATGTTCTTAAAATTATGAGTTTAATTACTATATGATATTCTTCTTTCGACGCTCTCTAAAGCTTTTTAAAGAGTTCATTTTCCAAATAGCAAATATAGTACAATAAGTACTATGTATGGTTATACGTACATACATACATATCTATGTACATATCTTCGTTACGCAACGGGCGGACTGCCAGTCCTGACTTAACTGTGTGCTTTCTCAGCATGTTGTACGCACGGTCGAGTTATCCCAGAAAAGTCCGATGGTGGACATTTAATTTTGATTTATAAATCGGGACGTCCCGCCAAAATGGAAGCGTTCGGCAACGCTGATATGTACATACGTTTAAATTTTTCATGCAGGCGTTATCCGCCTATATACATACATATATAAGTATGTAATAAATTTTTTAATTCAACACAAATTTATGTCTTCAATTCCAAATATGATTGTTGTGAATGTAAAAGGTGTGTTTCTGCTTTTGTAAATCGCATGAATAAACTCACAAAATAGGCTTAACGATAAATGACTCTTCGATTTGTTCAGAGTATATTTG